TTTCAGAATGTAATTTAGAAGAAAAAATAAGGAGAACAGAATGTGATTGTAGGAATGGTTGTTTAGAGGTGTAGATGGGGAGAGTTCAGGCACTGCATGCAGGAGTTGTAATTGGGAGGTGCTTCTTGAAATCCAGATGGAGAGGAGGGGTTAGGTTGTAAATTTCTCATTTTTTGATGTTATACATCATAAGCAGAACATAATCATTTAAATTGTACAACTCAGGCATAACGTAGAAAACATAATTACAAAATTCAGCATCATAAAAAAGTCTATATTACATAAGAAACTTTAAATGTTCAAAGTACACGTGACACTCCTTAAAATGACCACAACAATATCGACCCTTCCATGATGAGGGCAAAGACTCACTTGAGCATGCCACAAGACATATATACATACATACACATACAAACATTACATACATTACACACACGCACGCACGCATATGAGACTTTTTTCTCTTGCAAAGCACTCTCAATCTACAAGAGTGCTTTGCTGCCCCGTAAGGAGGGAGTTCGAAGCATTGCCTTTGTGCATAACAGAGCTTTACAATTATTCCTTGGAGCAAAACCAAATTCACAACTAGGAGCATATCAAACCTTGCGAATGCTAACTAGATGGAGAATAATATGTAGATTGACAGCATGAATAATTAAGGAAAGGCAAAAATTCATAATTCAAAAGTATTTATAACACTACAGTAGTTTCCAGAATACCCAAGGTTTCAAAAACGCTAAGCGGGCCCCTAGGCAGCTTGCCTGGCACCTAGCGCCCAGGCGGGCGCCCAAAACCTTAGGCTTTGAAGATATGTAGTATATATACATATATTTGTGTCAATTTTAGAATTTATTACATTTGAAAATATTGTAACATAGTTATTTATGTACAAAAATATGACATATCCACATGTTGAGAATAAATTTGTTCAAAATTTCATACAAAATTTAAAAGTCAAATAGGATATGTATTAATAATAGTCTCAAACTCTCCATATTTCTTTTTTGTTTAGATAAAGTTAACTCTCCATATTTCATAATAAGTGAAAAGGTTTAGGATGGTTCTTCAAACCAAAAAATATACTTTAGATTATCAGAAACAGGTATAGCTAAGAGATTGAGGGTTTATGGAATTTCTTTCAATTTTGAGGGTTGAAAATAACCCCCATAACCAATTTAAACCTCAAAATTACCCTATTTTTCCTTTTGGGTAAAAAAAAAAAAGCCACATCCCTGGGCACCCACCTAGGATCCCGCCTGGCCCGCCCGCCTAGGTATATCCACCAGTGTAAGGCCGCCTGAGTCTGGACGTGCGGTATTTTGGTCCAGGCCGCCTAAGCGCAGGGCAGACCGTTTTTTAAAACATTGAGAATGCCATAGAGGTTTGAGATTTATTTACAATAGTATTTAATCTTTGTTTTTTGAAGGGCCAGACATTTCAAAGGTGGTAGTGAGCATGTTGCAAAAATGGAAATTAACAATCATTGAGAGAAGAAGCTAGCCGACCCCAAATAGTTGGGAGAAGGTTCAATGATGATGGCTGAGGGAAGAAGCCGCTCGATTGTTTTCGCAATTAAACTTCATGTACAAAATGACCATCTAGAAGTTGGTGGCTGTGGAATTTTCTTAAATGTTGAGAGATCTACAATATACAAGACAATAAAACATAGAAATAGGCACTAATAATAATAATAACTCCAGAAAATAAAGCTATCTCTAGTGCTCAGCAAAGGAATAAAAAAACAAAGAAAAGAAGTAAAAAACTGTTCCATGTGAACTATGTATCATTAGCTTTCTCAAAATTTCTAGCTTTTTGGCGAGTAAGGTATCTATCGAGATAAGTTTGGCTAACGAAGAAGTACCTGGAATGAAATCCGATTGATGAGATTCACTTGCAGACAAATCAAGGCTAGGATCATCCGTGTTATGTCCAAAATGATCAGCACTATATATGGATGTCGAGCTCTACACAAAGCATTGGACCAATTACTAAACACAAGACGAAAAACAAAACTAACTTCAACTTATAGAGAAACTTAGTGATTAGAAGTAAGAGAAAAAATTTATAATCTGATGCTATCTGCAAGATGCAAGATTTGAATGCTGCCTAAAAAAGAAGAAAAACTAGCCCAAGTATTCATATGGGAATATTTTGTCAGGTTATTGTGCCCATTGAGACAAACCAAATCTGAAACCGAAAAGGGGGAAACAAGAAAAAGAAAACGAGGATGTATACTATCCTCCCTCACGAGCATAGTTTACTTCTACTCCCTTGGTAGAAGACCTACTTGAGAGGTTTTTCAATCTGAAATTTTGGAAACCACTTAAGAGTTACTAGATGATTATTCTCAAAAAATAATAATTTCAGTTTTCTAACACTCAGACCTCACCATCTAAAAATTGGATAGTCTCTATTCAATCTCTAGACATTGTTTTTTCAAGTGCAGAGTGGGTATGATAAGGATTTTTTTTAATCTATGGATTGAAGGGGTTACATCCCAAAACTTAACAAATTCTAGCTGGGGTTGTACCTGAGGGAGTTAATAGACATTCTACTTCCACGGGAATACAAAATCTTTTAGCCAGAAAAAACCCATAATGGCCAATTCCAACAAGGAGGGGAGTTGCTTAGAATCAAGAAAAAACATTTTCTTTTTGGAAGGACCATGGACAACTCTAAGTTGATCAGTGGAGTCACACTTGAATAATGAAGTAGACCAAGCTGGGTTAGTTTTCACTAAATGGGTGTACAAAAAAAAGTCTATTTAATACATCTATATGAACAAGTAGTTATGGGTGTATGCATGTGTGTGTGTGTGTTATATGTACTACACACGTACAAACACAGACACATACACAGAAGAGGGGACGAGGAAGAGAGAGAGAGAGCATACTGAGAAATTTTACAAGGAGATTTGGGCAGAAGCACCACTGGCTTTGTTTTGATCCCCAAAGAACTGAGTTGATGAAATAGATTTTGCATTAGAAAACTTTAGTTGGGCTTCGTTGCTTTCCTCAACCCGCAGTCATGAATGTAAACATCAAAAGATGGAAAAAACTGTCTAGACATATGCTAAGGATTATTGTAACAAAAAGGGCAGTGACACAGTCATCCAAGGGAAGAAATGCTTAATATTTGTTCTAACTGCAGACAAAATTGTTAGAGCTCCAATAGAAGAGGAAAAAACAACAATATATTACCTCTAATATAAACTACAGGCTACAGTCACTTTTTCAAAATTTAAAAAGCTCTACAGAATTTAATTGCGTAACACCTCACATGTTAATTCTACATAATTTAAAAAGATAAAAAATATGAACCATAGACTTCAACATGGGAAAGGGGTATAAATGTCCAAGTTCCTAGGGTGAGATCTTTTGGTTACGTTCTAAGATAGCTTTCGCTATGGTTGGTTATGAAGGACAAGATATTTGAAAAAAAAATTTAAGCTGAACTCTATTAACAAATATGAAGTGGGGTGGGACTTCCTTTGCAGACTATTCCAAAAAAGGACGGCAAACAAGCACCTCAATAATCAGAAATTAGTCGCATGATAGGGAGAATTAACAATAAAAATTGTACTAAATATGAAGGAAGCACTAAAAGAAAAACATTGAGGTTATATCATAGAGGATGAGGAAGGACATCTGTCTGAAGAAAGATAATTTCCAATCTGCAATTGTTGAGGATATTCAACTCCCATTGAATGTTAAAGACATGGTGATCTCTCCTGTTGGGAAACCTAAAATTGAATCTCTGTGGCAAAATGGAAATCGAATAACAATGGACCTAATCAATTGCTTCTAAGCAAGCAGGGCTATGCGGTGTTTGCAAAGGCAACAGTACGATAGATATTCTCCAATATGATGGGCATCAGGTGTGACAAGTCCTTCTCAAGCCAGGTATTTGGAATGGAGAACTAATATGTGAGTGTATAAGGACCGCTTCTCAGACTACAGATTATGGAGGTTGACTTCCTAACCTCATCAATTCACGCCAATGGGAGAACTATTCTTTAGAGCCAGGAGTTCTTTCACAAATAATTTGCACTTTTGTCACGTTGTAACCCATGTCATGGAATCATCGTGCAAGATAAAGGCTCTAGATGCTTGATGAAAGAGATGAAATGAAATCCAGACATCTCAATATTTAGACTTGCCATTACCAATGAATCCACCAAATGCTTTTAAAACGATTAGATCGATTGTAGACAAAGGCTGAAAGCACACCCATGCCCATGCAAAAATGGGTGCACTAGCACAAACACAGCAATTGTAACTTCCTACACTTTTTGCAGGTACCTAAATGATGGTATCAACACATCCAAAACCCAATACAGTATAACAAGAGCCCAACATGGATCATGCATTGAGTGGACAACATATGGGAGCAAAGGTGCCTCTTTGTGGCACATATATCGTGAATGCTGACTCTGGTTCCCAAAAACACATGGGAAAAAATACAAAATGGTGCCAACATGTCACTCTCAAACATTGGACACTGCTATAGGACAGACAGTCTGCCTCTCAACTGATCCCTAAATGAATCCCAAATGGCATAGAAACCTTCAGTAAAGATCTCCTATAGGACAAGCCAGTCCTCGTGCAATTGAAGTTCTCTTAGTGAACCTTCTTATCACCAAGTTTATACTTAGGACAGATTTGACACTAATCCCACAAGAGTACATATACCTCAATGATCCCATTTGTAGTCAAATCCCCTCACTGAATTTGTACTCTTAATTTTCTTGCAATAACTGTGCATATTATTCAAATTTTTGTTGCTTGTGGCCAGAAACGTGTGTCAATCCTTTTATTTATCTATCGTGTGTGTATAGAGAGAGAGAGAGAGCATGTACACTGACATTTGTGTGTGGAGAGAGAATGATAGAGAGAGAAAGAGAGAGAGCTTGTGGAATGACATTTGTGTGTCAATGGTTATCTATCATGTGTGTGTGTGTAGCGTCCGGAGGGAGGGACAAAAGGAGAGAGAGACATGTGCTATCCCTGTAAACAAGTTGCAAATATGCATAATCAAAGTATGAAGAACCCCATAATCTACCAAACCTGACTAGTCATTAAAGAATTACCTGCACTGTGGAGTAAGTGGAACTTGGCTTATTCTTGATTCCACTGTCCATTCCAAAATCAGCAAAGAAATTGCTTGATTTTAGGTGGAGAGACATGGTTAAGTACTTGCGTACCACCAGAATTGGCCTCTGCACTGCAGACTGCATGCTCTCAACATATTCAAAGAGTGAAGGAAACAACGAGCTAAAAGACGGTGCTGCACTGGCATTAGTGGACGAACTAACAACAAGAGTCGGCTCTTCAGGCTTCTGATCATAAAGACTTTCACTTGGCTGCATCAAATTGAATAGGCATCAGACAAGAAAAAATTCATAACATCATAACTTTACAAATTCTAACTTTCTCCAATTGATTCATTAACTACATATAATGCCACTAAGGAATCAAGAAAAGATTCAAGATTAAAGTTAAACAATCATCTTTAGGAATAGAAAATTTTTGCATTACTGTAAGCTAAAGAACGATCCGACCTTTGTAGTAAGCTTTTGGGCACCAAGACCGCCCTCCGTCTTGCTTCCTATTCTTGCACCAATGGGCGTTTTTATGGTACTGGTAATTGGATGAGGAGTTTTTGGTGAGGCCGTAACTTCAGGTGCCTCATGTTTATCAGCAACATCATTTTCTTTGGATGTACCCGTAAACTTCATATGAGATAGACCATTTACTGTCTAATTCAGGTGCTCTTGATGTATATTTTGCTTCGATTTTACCTCCGTTAGTTACCCACAGGAACGAGTCAAACCACCAGTCCAAGTTTTTAAACATTCATCAAAAACTTTATATGGTTTCAGAATCTTTGCCCAAAACTTGTTTCACAATAGTTAATGTCACCATTAACAAAAACGATGCCTGAAAAGCTATACAAACACCACTGCTACAAATTTGACTTTTCAAATTATATTCTAGACCAATACAAATGTCATCCTAAATTCCACAGATCTGGTTCAATTATAAATTCAAATTATATTCTACCATAGATCATAACAATAAGCAATGGGATGAGTTTTTTTTTTCTAAAATAAGCAGAAAGAGGAAATCATTTTGCTTGCGTATTACAGAGTGGGAAAAAATGGCAATTACCAAAGACCAAATCCAAGACTCAGGAAAACATCACAATATTTGATATGACATAATCACAAGCATTAGAACCAACCAATTGGGTTGTAGTAAAATTTTCAGTACACTATCAACCAAAATTTACATGAAATGAGACATGGTTTTTTTCAGAATATTGAATCTCGTTCTAAATCTTATTACAACAACAACAATAATATTACACAGCATCCAACAAGCAGTAATCACATACCAAAATTACATGAAAAGAATGACAAAGCAAGTTGAATATCAAAAAGAACCCTTCAAAATACAAATGGCACAATAAAATAAGATAATTTTTTATTGTGATCCTTGAACATGGTAATTCTGCTCCAATTGAACCTCTGAGTAAAACATGCAACAAAAAATAATATTAAGAGAAGAAAAAAAAGAAAAAAAACTAAGCTGATGAAATAGATTTTGCATTAGAAAACTTTTGTTGGGCTTCGTTGGTTTCCTCAACCTGCAGTCATGAATGTAAATATCAAAAGATGGAAACAATTGAATGGACACATGCTAAGGACTATTGTAACAAAAACGGTAGTGACAGTCATCCAAGGGAAGAAATGTTTAATATATGTTCTAACTGCAGACAAAATTGTTAGAGCTCCAATTGGAGAGGAAAAAAAAACAATATATTATATTGCCGCAAATAGAAACATTTGAATGTTGCCTAACAAGGAGAAAAACATGCCCAAGCATTCATATGGCCATATTTTGGGAGGTCATTGTACCCATCGAGAAAATATCAAACAAAATCTGAAATTTTAGGAAACACTTAAGAGTTACTACATTATTCCTCTTGAAAAAAAAATTGAATATTGCCATCCAACTTTAGTTGGGTGTAATAAGGATGTTTTTTAATCTATGGATTGAAGGGGTTACATCCCCAAATTTTGGGGTCCTAAAACTAATTCTAGGTGGGGTTGTACCTGAGGGAGTTAATCGACATTCTACTCTCACGGGAATAGAATATCATTTAGCCAAAACAATTACCCACAAACGCCAATTCCAACAAGGGGAGTTTTGTTTAGAATCAAGAAAAAACATTTTTTTTTTGGGAGCTACAAAAGTCTGTCACACTTGAATAGTGGAGTAGATTCAAGTAGACCACGCTGGGCCAGTTTTCACTAAATGGTGTACAAAAAAAAAAGGTTTATTTAATACATCTATATGAACGCGCAAAATGTAGATATGGGTGTATGCATGTGTGTGTGTGTGATATGTACTACACATGCACAAACACACAGACACACAAACAGAAAGGGGATGAGGAAAACAGAGAGAACATACTGAAAACTTTTGCAAGGACATTTGGGCAGAAGCATCACTGGCTTTGCTTTGATCCCCAAAGAACTGAGCTGATGAAATAGATTTTGCATTAGAAAACAATATATATACATTACATTCATTACACACACGCACACATATAAGGCGTTTTTCTCTTGCGAAGCACTCTCAAACTAAAAGAGTGCTTTGCCGCCCCCTAAGGAGGGAGTTCAAAGATTTGCCTTTGTGCATAGCAGATCTTTACAATTATTCCTTGGAGCAAAACCAAATTCACAACGAGAAGCATATCAAACCTTGCGAACGCAAACGAGATGGAGAATAATATGTAGATTGAAAGCATAAATACTCAAGGAAAGACAAATATTCATAATTCAGAAGTATTCATAACACTACAGTAGTTTCCAAAATACAATAGAGGCCATGAGATTTATCTACAATAGCATTTAATCTTTGTTTTTTGGGGGGGCAGATAATTCAAAGATTGCAGTGGGCATGTTGCAAAAAAGGAAATTAACAATCATTGAGAGAAGAAGCTAGCCGACCCCAAATAGTCGGGATAAGGTTCAATGATGATGGCTGAGGGAAGAAGCCACCCGATTGTTTCTGCAACTAAACTCCATATACAAAATGACCATCTAGAAGTTGGTGGTTGTGGAATTTTCTTAAAATGTTGAAAGATCTACAATATACAAGACAGTAGAGCATAGAAACAGGCTAATAATAACTCTAAAAAATAATGCTATCTCTAGTGCTCAGCAAAGGAATCAAAAAACAAAGAAGAGAAGGGAGAGTGAAAGACAGTGTGTACATTGAAATCAGATTGATGAGATGACATGCAGACAAATCAAGGCTAGGATCATCCATGTTATGTCCAAAAAGATCAGCACTAGATATGGATGTCGAGCTCTACACAAAGCATTGGACCAATTGCTAAACACAAAACAAAAGAAAAAACTAACTTCAACTTATAGAGAAATTTAGTGACTAGAAGGCAGAGTGAAAGAGAGAGCGTGTGCATTGACAGTTGTGTTTGTGGAGAGAGAGAGAGTGAGAGCTTGTAGAGTGACATTTGTGTGTGTCAATGGGTTTATTTATCTATCGTGTGTGTGTGTAGTGTGGGAGGGAGGGACAGATGGAGAGAGAGAACCAAGATTTTTCAAGAACTTATTTATAGACATGTACCATCCCTATAAACAAGTTGCAAATATGCATTGTAAAACAATGAAGAACCACATTATCTACCAAACCTGAATAGTTATTAAAGAATTACCTGGACTTTGGAGTAAGTGGAACTTGGCCTTTTATTGATTCCACTGTCCATTCCAAAATTAGCGAATAAACTGCTCGATTTAGGTGGAGAAACATGGTTAAGTAATTGTGTACCACCAGAATTGGCCTCAGCAGACTGCATGCTCTCAACATATTCAAAGCGTGAGGGAAACGATGAGCCAAAAGATGGTGCTGCACTGGCATTAGTGGATGAACTAACAACAAGAGCCGGTTTTTAAACATTGTAAAATATTCAACAATAACTTTCTATGGATTCAGAATCTTTGCCCAAAACTTATTTCACAATAGTTAATGTCAAGATTAACTAAAATGATGCCTGAAAAACTATACAAATACCACCGCTACAAATTTGACTTTTCAAATTATATTCTAGACCAATAACAAATGTCATCCTAAATTCCGCAGATCAGGTTCAACTATAAATTCCCAACCAAAGTTAATCCACATAGTCTGCCCTAGAGCAAAACAATTAGCAATGGGATGACTTTTTTTGTTCTTTTTCTAAAATAAGCAGAAAGAGGGAATCATTTTGCTTGCATATTGCAAAGTGGTTATTACAACAACAACAATAGTATTACACAGCATCCGACGTGAAGTAATCACATACCCAAATTACATGGAAAGAATAATAAAACAAGTTGACTATCAAAAGGAACGCTTCAAAATGCAAATGGCACAATAAAATAAGATAAACTTTTATTGTGATCCTTGAACATGGTAATCCTGCTCCAATCGAGCCTCCGAGTAAACCATGCAACCAAAATTAACATTAAGAGAAGAAAAAACGAAGAACTGAGCTGATGAAATAGATTTTGCATTAGAAAACGTTTTTTGGGCTTTGTTGGTTTCCTCAACCTGCAGTCATGAATGTAACCATAAAAAAATGGAAACAATTGCCTAGACACATGCTAAGGATTAATGTAACAAAAAGGGCAGTGACACAGTCATCCAAGGGAAGAAATGCTTAATATATGTTCTAACTGCAGACAAAATTGTTAGAGCTCAAATTGGAGAGGAAAAACAATAATAATAATAGAAACATTTGAATGCTGCCTAAAAAGGAGAAAAACATGCCATGCCCAATCATTCAAATGGGCATATTTTGTGGGGTCATTGTGCCCAGTAAGATAATGTAAACAAAATCTGAAGTTTTGGGAAACAGTTAAGAATTACTACATGCTTCCACTCGGAAAAAAAATGGACATTTGCTGTCCAACTTTAGTTGGGTGTAATAAGGACTTTTTTTAGTATATGGATTGAAGGGATTACACTCCCAAAATTTGGGGTCCTAAATAAAACTAATTCTAGGTGGGGTTGTACCTGAGGGAGTTAATAGACATTCTACTCCCATGGGAATAAACTATCATTTAGCCAAAAAACTACCGCCAATTCCAACAAGGGGAGTTTTATTTAGAATCAAGAAAAAAACATTTTTCTTTTTGGAAGGGTCATGGACAACTCTTAGTTGATCAATGGAGTTACAAAAGTTGGTCACACTTGAATAGTGGAGTAGACCAAGCTGGGCCAGCTTTCATTGAATGTGTAAAAAAAGAAAAGTCTATTTAATACGTCTAGTCATTGAGTTAAAACCAAAATATTGTCAAATAATGCAAAGAACCAAGATGGAAAAAAAGAAATCTTAAAACACTTGGTCACAAATATTCTAGTGCCAGACAATGCAAAGAACCACAAAAAATAAAAGGGTACGTTAAAAATCTCGATCATGAATATCATTTTGACTTAAATTTTTTAAAAAAGAATGACCTAAAAGATTAAACAAACCGTGGATAATTTCAAATCAAACAAAGAAAATCAGTAGGAAAATTGGCCAGTTAATGGGTATCTACGGATTTAACCCCTGCCCCCAAAGTCGAGTCAATATTATTAAGAATCGAGACAGAAAAAATGATACCTTAAAAACCTAGTCATGAATACTCTTTGGCTTAAAAATTTGACAAGAAACGACGAAATT